CCCCAAAACCCCAAAACCCCAAAACCCCAAAACCCCAAAACCCCAAAACCCCAAAACCCCGAGTGACTAATAAGATATTGAAGATTAATTTAAATTTACCAGTCCCTTACATTGGTTGCTTAATAATTATCCAGTACTCAATCAGCAATGGGCTTGAGACAGAACTCTGAGCCAGAAATCTCCCTTCTTGTGATTCTTTCCTGGCAGAGAATGAAGAAGTCATTGAAGGGGCTTAGTCTGATTAATACTTCTGTGTCAGTAACTATACCCATTAATATGCTCGCTCGAGACATATGAAAGATGATATACTCAGCTACAGGGAATTCCTCAGACGGAGTCTTTATTCTGGTAAATTTTTCAACCTTTGATTGTATATCTGGAGCCAAACAATCTAATGTAACATTGAGCAAGTGATCGATGGAATCTAGACTGATCATGTCTCCAGAAAGTTCTTGAAATTCAATTGCTGAAGAATTAATTTCATAAGAGGAATTTCTAGCTGCCTCTTTCCATAAAATCATGTCAACATTAGGATATCTCAAATAGTTTAAGATTTTGATGGCAATAAAAATTGCTGATATCGATGCAAACAAAATTCAAACAAAAATTCCCAGACTCAATAATTTCTTATCTTTATTTGATCTGAAAGTGTCTTTTTGTCTTATTGCCTCAAGTAAGAAATAACATGACAACACAAAAAGCATTGAGCCTTCAAAGAACCCAACTATATGGATATTTTGGTAAAGAGATATCACCATTTCTACTATAGCAACGAGAATACCAATCATGAACGCAATTTTTAAGTCTCTAAATATACTGCTTGTTTTGTATAGCTTTATAATTATTTAAGCTTTCATCGTCAAAGAGATGAATGCCACTGTCACTCATGAATGCAACTCTTTGATGCTGGTCTTCAATATGAAAGGACTCCATCTTATAATTTTAATCAAAATTCAACAGTCATAACTGATATTGGGGTTTTGGGGTTTTGGGGTTTTGGGGTTTTGGGG